ACTCGGGTGACTGATGTCGTGTGTGTGACTGTCCTCGTTTACCGATTGCAACGTACAGTAGGTTTGTGCAATTGAAACACCGGCGACGAGGCGGATAAAATGGTGCGATTCCGTGCGGGGAGGTTGGTGAACAACGGGTCGTTGTGAATCGATCAGTTTGTCGAGCGAACCACAATAGTCACATCCTGACTAACCCGCGTCCCAGTGCCCCACACACACACAGACACCGATCCACTTGGTTGTCTGGGTCACGGAAAAGTGCACGACCTCGCTTGTCGCGTTTGAATACAGTTGTTGTTGTTTTTCCGATACATATACTCAATCCATAAACAAGCACATAGACACGCACGCACGCGAATAGCGACAGTGATCGGCAAATGTTTTTCACCATCACCAACGTAGGGCAAAACAGTCAATACACATCAATTCGGACTCTGGACTCCAGTTGACTTGAGGCGCGCCACGCGCACGCATTCAATTTGTCAATCGCGGGAATCCCGTGGATGGATGTCTTTTTACTTCCTTTTTTTAATTATGAAATATACAAATGTACAGTCAACTTTCAGGAACAGGGCTGCGACCATATACAAAGGCTGCCTGAGGAAAATACAGAAATAGGGAAGACGGACGGTGGTAGCGCGGTTCGAACCCGGAACTTCCGGGGCACAATTTGGTAACCGAACCAGTTAGGCACCACCGTCCACATGGATGAAACGTACAAAGGTCGAGGAAGACGGTGGGAAGGAATGATTTCACGCGTGATCACCTTTGAATGAGCAGCTCTGGTTTCATGAACCTGGTTTCCCGGGTGAGGGTGAACAGCTGACAAGACACACTCAACTACCTGAAAAGAACCGTCATTTCAGAGCCAGTCAGTCAGTAATTAAAGATGTGTGTGTGTGTGTGTGTGTGTGTGCATATAGTCACACAGTGGTTTGATCGTGGTGATTCGTCTCGTATTTTCGCTGCACCCGATCCACTTCATATCGAAACCACGTTCTATCTGATTTTCAGCTAACGTCCACTAACTAGATCGATGAGATAAAATTCTTTAGGGAGAGAAGGGGGCTCTGTTTTCCAGTTAATTGAGCATACTGCAATACGACGTGAACCTGCATAGAAAGTGATCTGACAAAAACCATGAAGAAATAATTTGATGTGTATGACAGGGTGAGAATCAGCGGTGGGTGGGATCTGTCGGTAAAAAGCGGGCAGATTTACGGACGGATATCATAGCGACTCTCAGTTATATGATCCCGGCAATCGATTCGGTTGGTATCGAGAGTTGATACAACCCCAGAGCTTTTTATGTCGCTTATCTTCGTCAACAACCATTGCATGTCGGCGAAGTCTAACTGGAGACATGTCCCAGATGTCATGGTACAACATCAACTATCTACGTCGTCAAACAATCGTGACCGCTCGATACTCTGTATCGAGCTCCTGTAGGATAACGATGATGATGATGACGATGGCAGTGTACACGCAGTTTAATAACAGAATGATGCAGTACCGTGTTTGTCGGTTGGTCGTGGCAGACTATTTCACTAACGCCAAACAATACAACCGTCTCGCATAGCTGGCAGTAATGTGCGTAAATGGAGAACACGATAGCAACAATTGCCGTCTATTATTCATGCAGTTTACCGCACGATTGTGCTGATGTCTATCAAGTGTTTGTTTTTAACACCCGTAAATCGATACGTGAGTACATGATCATCTTGGTATTGTGTTGTCGAACAACTCATTTCAAAGTGAGAAAATTACACTTGGTCTAATCCAACGTGAGCAACACACAAGCCAAGGAGACGATAATCGTGATGACGATAACAATGACGACAACGACAAAAAGCACTGAACACGTCTGACAGATAGATAACGCGGGTACATAGATAGCTTGCATTTACGTCATACTACTACTAC